AAAAAGAAAAGAAAAAAAAAGAACAAATACGTAAATCATGTTATTAATATCTGGTTCTATTCTACTAAAAAACTAATGAGGAAGAAGAGATGGAGGAGGTAAGAAAAAGGAGGAGGAGGAGGAATAGAAGAGGAAGAAGTATAAGAAAAGAAGGAAGGAAGGAAAAAAAGAAAGAAAAGTAACAGTAAACACTAGGTTTGCTTTCTTTAACATAGTCAAGAACTGGGTCAACTTGACCCTTCAGTGACAGAACTGACTTTTGATATCCTTGGGAGTCCCTGGATATTAGCCCCTCCCCTAGGCTCATGGCATCTGGGGAATGCTGGGAGCCCCCCCCCAAAAAAAAAGCCTGTTCCCCTAACTTTACAAACTACATCCCTGGAACCAGAACCTTCGAAAGGGGAGCAGGAGTTGGCCTTCCTCCTAAAGCAGGAAGTGATGCTACCCCACCAGGTGGGGAGGGGCCTCAATCGCCACCAAAGGCTTTCCCCAAAGGCCGGGTGGCCATCGATCCTGGGAGATAGATTTCTGGATGCTTCGAGAACACCTCAGCAACCCCCGCCCCCCTCCGGTCTTGCCGCCTATTACCCGCCAGGAAACCCATTGCGCCTGGGCCTCCAGAATGGCGGCCGGCCTCCCCTACAAACATCTCCCAACATTTCAGGCCAATTTGCCTTCACCTGACTTTAAAATGCCTGCCAGGCTCTTGAGTTCCGCCACTCAGGAGAAAACCTGGGTGAAGAAGCTTCCGCGAAAACTTAACAACCTCCTCCAGCCTCGTCAGATCCGCTAGAGCGACGGGCTCCTCGCGGACCCACGCGGCCTTTCCCGCCATTTTTCTGCGCATGGGCAGCTGCGCATACTGCTGACGTAGTGAACGTTTGGCTGCTCTACATCCGCCCCCTCTTCCATTCTCGCTGAGCGCATGCGCACATCCTCTGACTGGGCATGTCTTCTTTTGGACCAGGTAACCCCAATTCATTTCTTCTCCTGTTGCCGTCCAATACCTTGTCTGACCTGAATGAGAGTATGGTTTATTGGTGGGGTGCTGCTTAACAAGTACAAAGGCCCTGAGTTCAAACACCAGTAGTAGCCAAAAAAAAAAAAAAAAGGTGGGGAAACAGGGAAGGGACACCAAAAATGAAAGTTTTTTTGTGTGTGTGCATACAGAAGAAAAGTCAAATTAAAGCATTCAGCAAGCGGACAGCTTTCTATAGTACAGGAAGAGAGGCCTCTGCAGACTCCCACCCCCAGATGACACCTCCAAAATGTTTCACTTGTAGGTTTGAGGATTGTAGAGAAAATTACTGTTGTTTGAATCACTCAGCCCATTATGGTTGTTTTCTTTCTTTTTTTTTTTTGGTTGGTCATGGGGCTTGAATTCTGGGCTTGGGCACTGTCCCTGAGCTCTTCAGCTCAAGGCAAGCATTCTACTACTTGAGCCACAGCACCACTTCCGGTTTTCTAGTGGTTTATTGGAGATAAGAGTTTCATGGACTTTCCTGCCTGGGCTGGCTTTGAACTGAGATCCTCAAATCTCAGCCTCCTAAGTAGCTAGGATTACAGGCATGAGCTACCAGTGCCTGGCTTCTTATTTTTTTTGCCAGTCCTGGAGTTTGAACTCTGGGCCTGGACATTGTCTCTGAGCTTCTTTCACTCAATTGAGGCCAGTGTTCTAACCTTTGAGCTACAGCACCACTTCTGGCTTGAGTCTCATGGACTTTCCTCCCGGTCCTGATTAGCTAGGATTACAGGCATGAGCCACCAGGGTCTAACCAAGTTTTTGTTTTTTTTTAATTGGGTTTGTTTTATAGTCCCAGGTAAATTGTGGTTTATGTAAACAATAGAATCCCTCTCAATAAGGAGAATATAATAACAGTTGCTGCCAGTAGTAATTGTACACATTGATAATCTCAGCTACTCAGGAGGCAGAGGTAGGAAGAACAAGGCCAGCCTGGGCAAAAAGGTAAGAGGTGTAGGTAGGATAATAATTATAGGCCAGTGTTGGGCAAAAAGCACAACATCCTACCTAAAAATAAAATAACAAGGGCAGGGGGCATGTGTAGAGTGCCTGCCCAGCAAGTTTGAAGCCCTGTGTTCAACCTCCAGTACAATCCAAATGAAAGACAAGTAGATAGAAAATCCATTGAAAAAAAAAGTTCAATATTTTTAACCATCAAGAAATGCAAATCAGGCCAGGCACCATGGCTCATGTATGTAATCCTAGTTACTGAGGAGGCTGAGATCTGAGGATCACAGTTCAAAGCGAGCCTGGGCAAGAAAGTATGTGAGACTCTTCTCTCCAATTAACCACTAGAAAACTAGAAGTGGCACTGTGGCTCAAAGTGGTAGAGTGCTAGCCTTGAACAAAAGAGCTCAGGGACAGTGCCCAGGCCTGGAGTTCAAGATCAATGACCAACCAACCAACCAACCAACAAACAAACAGATGAACAACCCCCCCCCAATTCTTGGTTTGCTTGCTCAGTTTGTCCTCATGCCTCCAGTATGGCATTTTGCTGGTTAATTGGAGGAGGAATCTTGCATATTTTTCAGTCTGGTCTAGTTTCAAATCTCAGCCTTCCAAGTCTTAGACTTCTGAGTAGCTAGATTACAGATGTGAGTCACATCTGTAGTACCCAGCAATATCTAGATATTAAAAAAAGAAAAGGAGGAGTAGAACTATTTGGGAAAAGGAACCAGAAAGAAGGGAAAGAGGAGAGCAAGGAGGTTAGGGAGGGCTCTAATAATAAAAGTGTATTATCTACATGTATGAAAACATCATAAGGAAACTCATTGTTTGGTACAATGAATGGAAAGAGCAGTGGGTAGACTTGTGGTGTATTTCTGCAGAGCTCAGAGGAGTTTGTCCTGGCTTTCAAGTTGAAGTTAGTAGAGGAGAGGGCTGTCAGTGTCCACACTGGGATTCAAATAGGGCAATGTGGCTTGGGGCTGGGTTTCAAAGGCGCCTCTGGGACTGGTGGGGATAGATCAGCCTCTCGGGGGAGGGCAGGAATGCAGAAATCCTGAACCAGGAGACCATGCAGGCCAGCTGTAAGAAAGATTTTGTAGGAGAGGCAGAGAAAGGGGGTATAGAGGTTTGGTCCAGAGACTGGGCAGAGGGTGGGGCTGCTCTTGATGGGGAAGCAAGGCAAAGGAGAGAATTCTGGGGAATCCTTGGTCTCTGTGTGGGATGTGGTGAGGGCAAGGGTCACAGGGGACATCCGGGGGCCAGTTGGTTGGTGAAGACAGACTGAGAAAAGTTGATGTCTCAGGAGACAAGGAACCTCTTTCTCAGGGTCGGGGTAGACAACTCAGCGGGAAGTTGGGGATGTGTGTTGGACTTGACAAGAGTGGGTTGCCTCAGGGGGCATCCAGGAAGACTGAATGGCAATCAAGGTCTGCTCTCCACAGGCCCCCCCTGCAGGGACAGGAAGTCCTGCTTGGCTTCTGCATACTGCTGTGCATGCTGGCTCTGCATGCGGCCCTCCCCCTGCCAGGGCCCCTCTGGGCCTGAAGCACTTTCACTTCCCAGAGGTGCCCAGCCCTTGCTCCCAAGCTCATCAGAATACCCTAGTCTAGAACCAGATGTAGATTCCCCCAGAGAAAGGCAAAGATGAGGGGGAGGGGAAGGACACAGGAAAGGGACACAGAGAAAAGGGGTCAGGCCAGGTGCCCGTGGCTCATGCCTGTCATCCTAGCCATTCAGGAGGCTGAGATCTGAGGATCTGGGTTTGAAGCCAGCCTGGGCAGAAAAGTTCTTGTGAGACTCATCTCCAATTAACCACTTCAAAAACTGGAAGTGGGGCTGTGGCTCATAGTAGTAGAGCACTAGCCATGCATGAGCAAAAGAGCTCAGGGACAGCACCCAGGCCCTGAATTCACAACAAACAACAACAAAAAGAACGAAAGAAAGAAGAGAAAGATAAGGGGTCAGGGATGCTGAGAGACAAAGGGGACAGAGACCCAGAGAGAGAGGGGAGAGACCCAGATAGAGAGGGCCAGAGACAAAGGACAGAGATGGAAGGGGATGAAGAGAGGGGACAGAGATGGGGGAGAGCCAGAGACCCAGGGCAGGGAAGGAGAGAGCAGGATGCAGAGATAGCAGAGCTTAGCAGGCCATGAGGTCAGAGTGTCTGTGAGGTCGGCTGCTGTCCAGGGACAGTCTTGGGGTCCTGGTGCCCAGAGGGGGCCCAGGAGATCAGAGCACCTTGTGCATCCCCTCCCCCTCCCAGTCTGAGCCATGGAGACAGAAGAGGGTCTGCCTACTGTGTCCTTGGTGTCCACCAATCTCAAGGCCCCTGAGGTACTGGTGTGTGTCCTGATGGGGTAGGTGAGAAAGACAGGGATAGCGTTGAGTCACTTCATGAGGGGGGAGGGCCCCACCACAGGGACTTCCTCTTTGTGTTCTTCCTTTCGACCTCCTCCCAGCTTCTCTCTCGCTCGCTCGCTCACTCTCTCTCTCTCTCTCAGAGTCTGTATTTCCACCTGTCTCCCTCACTGCCAACACTTCTGTTGTTCCCTCTTCTAGGTGAAGATGGCGGCCCAGGAGAGCTGTCTGAGTCTCATCAAGTACTTCCTGTTCGTGTTCAACCTCTTCTTCTTTGTGAGTTACCCAGCCTGGGTTCCCAGCCCTCCTTCTGCAGCTCCTGGGCCTCAAACATCCCCCATTTCCCCCACCCCCAGCTCTTTGCTCACTGCCATTTTGTCCTCTCCCCCCACTTTCCTGCCCCAGGTCCTAGGCAGCCTGATTTTCTGCTTCGGCATTTGGATACTCATCGACAAGACCAGCTTCGTGTCCTTTGTGGGTGAGGGGGGCTGGGAAGCTGGGGGTGGGGGGGGGAGGGGGCTTCCTGGAACAGACCTGGGCTCAGCTTCCTGCCAAGTGATCCCTTGTCCTAAGGAGACCTAGAGCCCTAAGTCCCAAGAAGGTCACAGGGACTGATCCTTTACTCCCTAGGCAGGTCACAGGCTCTGTTGCCGGGTCTTTTGAAGTTTTTATTTTCTTCCTCTGGTCAATGTGGGTTGTCCTTACTACTACTACTACTAATCACAGCAATGACGATGCCAGTCATTTTGTTTTTCTAGAACTTTCTGTGTCAGCTCTTGGGACTATCTTGCTGATCAGTCTTCCTTCCTCCCCCCTCCCCCACCCCTCTTGGTGGTACTAGGAGTTGAGCACAGGTCCTTGCACAAATGTTAGGCAAGTGCTCAGCCAGTGAAGCCACACCCCCAGTCCAAACTTTCCTCTTGAGATTCAGAGAAGGGAAGTCCCTTGCTGTGTGAGGAAGGAGAAGAGCAGAAATATTAATAGCAATAAAGAACACAATAATGGGTGGATTGAACCCATATTTGCATCTGTCCCTCAGAACAACTCTAAGGCCAGCCACATCTGTGCCACCTGTAATCCTAACTATTTTAAAGACGGCGGCAGGAAAACTGTGTTTCCAGCCCAGCTCTGGCAAAAGACCATCTGAAAAATGAAAATGAAAAACAAAGGGCGAGGGTGTAGTTCTAATTGTAGTGTTCCTGACTAGCATTTGTGCAAGGTCTGCTGTTCAATCCCAATACTGGGTTAAAAAAAAAATAGGACCAAGTAAAAGGGCACAAACCTGTAATCCCAGTTACCCCCACAGAACAAGTGACAATCAAGAAAGGAGAGCAAGCTGGCAGTGGTGACTCACACCTGTAATCCTAGCTCATGAGGCTGAGATCTGAGGATCACAGTTCAAAGCCAGCCTGGGCAAGAAAGTCCGTGAAACTCTTATCTCCAATGAACCACCAGAAAACTGGAAAAAGTGGTGCTGTGGCTCAAGGGGTAGAGTGCTAGCCTTGAGCTGAAAAACTTAGGGACAGAGCCCAGGCCCAGCATTCAAGCCCCTGACCAACCACTCTCCCTCCCCCCAAAAAAAGGAGAGCAAAAAAAGAGTTGTAGAAGAAAAAACAAAAACAGGGCTGGGAAAGTGGCTTAGTGGTAGAGTGCTTGCCTAGCATGTATGAAGTCCAGGGTTCGATTCCTCAGTACCACATAAACAGAAAAAGCCAGAACTGGCACTGTGGCTCAAGTTGTAGAGCTTAAACAGAAGAAGCTCAGGGACAGTGCCCAGGCTCTGAGTTCAAGCCTCAGGACTGGTTAAAAAAGAAGAAAAAAAAACAGAGAGAGAAAAGGAGAGGGGCAAGCAGATTCAGAGAAAGGAAAATCAGGAGCCCAGAGAGAAGGCTTCTACTTGGAGGGCTGCTAGGGTAGGACTCTGCCTAAACCTGTGCCCACCAATCCATTCTCTCTGCCTCTTACCACCCCCCAGGTCTGTCCTTTGCACCCCTGCAGACCTGGTCCAAGATCCTGGCCGTCTCAGGAATCCTCACCATGGGCCTGGCCCTCCTGGGTTGTATGGGGGCACTCAAGGAGCTGCGCTGCCTTCTGGGCCTGGTGAGTACCAGCCCCTCTGCCTGGCTAGGACCACTTCATCCACGCCTCTTTACGAAAAGGCCAGAGGAAGTCATCTGATCTCTTTCCACTCTAATCTTCAGTATTTTGGAGTGCTGCTGCTCCTGTTTGCCACACAGATCACTCTGGGGATTCTCATCTCCACTCAGCGGATTCGGGTGAGTTTGTCATGGCTAACACCCAACTTAGGGCTGCTGATGGTGGGGTGTGGGTCTGGGAGGAGTAAGGGGAGACCCTGCAACAATGGCATGTGGGTGATGACTGACATAGATAAGGAAGATGGGAACTTTGAGGGTCTATAAAGGGAAGGGGGAGAGAAACAGAAGGTCCTGAAGGACCCCAGAATAGCAGAGATCCTGTGCTCTGTCAGAGGAACTGACAGAGCAGGTTAGAAGCAGGGAGAAGTAAAAGCCCAGGTGGAAGATGTGCTCCCGGACCCTCTAGGTTGAACCCCCTGGGAGAGACTGGGCAGGGGAGTGGATGAGGGGGTGGGGAGAGGCCCCTAGCCCAGCCTCACCCTGCGCCTCTCAGCTGGAGCGAAAAGTTCAGGAGCTCGTGCTGGAGACCATCCAGAATTACCGCATGAACCCAGAGGCGACGGCAGCCGAGGAGAGCTGGGACTATGCACAGTTTCAGGTGTGTGCCCCCCTCCCATCCTGTTGGACCCCCTCCGGCTCTGGAACTTTGATGTGACTCTGGCCAGTCACATTCCCAGCCTCTAGCTGTGACACAACTCTGTCAACTCGTCCTAGTACCCTTCCATGTCCAGCTGAGGCCCTGTGTCCAGATGACCCGGTCCCAACGTGGCCCGGTTCTCCCAACTTTCCACGCCGTGGTTCCCCACTCTGCCCAAGAATTTAGTGTGACTCTGGATTGGCGATACGAAGTCCCACAACCCCACCCACTAATCCCCCACTTATCATCCGCAATTCCCCCCACTTGTCCGGGGAGACAGAATCACACGGCACTCGCTTAGCGCCCGGTCACCCCCAGTGTCTCTTTCCTGAATGTCCCCCAAGGCCCTGGCTTCACCCCGCTTTCTGCGGCCTCCCCACCCTGACCTCACACCCATCACCCCGTCCCTCGAAACCCCAACATCATCTCGCACCATCCAGCCCTTGTCCCCAACTCCCCATCTCTCCCTCAGCTGCGCTGCTGCGGCTGGCACAGCCCCCGGGACTGGTTCGGTGTGCTGAGCAGCAATGAGACCGAGGGGCCTCATGTGCCCTGCTCCTGCTACAACACATCGTCCACCAACGACTCCACCATCTCCCACAAGATCTTCTTCTCCCAGCTTGGCCTGCTGGGCCCGCGAGCGCGGCCCAGGCCCAGCGCAGACCTCTGTGTGGTCCCCGCCAACGAGTACACCTACAGTGAGGTGGGCAGGAGGGGCGTGGCCTGAGTGCTTGGTGGGCGTGGCTCCTTGGAAGGGGCGTGGCCTGAGCGGTCTAGGGAGGGGCAGAGCTTGAGATAGTTGAAGGCCGCTGCTCCCAACCAGGTAGCCTAAAACCCTCGTGAAAGCAGCTCAGTGCTTGAAAAGGAGAGAGGGCTAGGCTGGGCCTGAGGGTGAGTTCCAGAAAGAAGTTTAACCTTCAACCTTTCCATACACCCCCCCCCCCCTCCAGGGCTGCGCTCGGAGTCTCCAGAAGTGGCTGCATAACAACCTCATCTCCATAGTGGGCATTTCTCTGGGCGTCGGTCTACTCGAGGTGATTTAGCTCCGCCCACTCTTATGATTGGCTCCAGTCTACGCGGTCCCTCCCTGCGGAGGGACCCGCCCTACTGTGACTGTAACACGCCCCCTGTTGGGAAGGGGGCGGATACTTTAGTTTCTATGAGTCCTGATTGGTCGCAGGTAAGGAAAGCCTTCTTGTTATTGGCTGGAGTATCCTCCCCTTTCCCCGCAGGTGAGTGTCATGGTGCTGAGCCTGCAGCTACAATGCAAACTGCTTCGCTGGGAACACGGACCCCAAGTGTCCAGCGCCCACAGTTCAAGCCCCATGCCCGGCCTGAGCGCTGATAGCGGTGGCGGGCACGGTGGTATTCTCAGCAACAGCAGCGGGCGTAGCAGCACTTCGTGGGGTGGTCGAGGCATGGCGGGTGCCTGCCCAAACTGGGGGGACCGGGCCCCACAGGGCAAACTATCCATGATGCCGGGGCCCAGGCCAATTTGTGATCAAGGTGAAGAGCAGCCAGAGACCCAGGGCGCGAGGGCAGAGATGAAGGTAGAGACAGAAGGGGAGACAGAGGAACCTCCAGAATAAACTGCCCTGGGCTTGCTTCTGACCTTACTCCTTCGCAGATTCGACCCCATCTCACCTCCACCCCACGGACTGCAGCTGGGCTTCCCCCACCCACGGTTCCTTTTGCTGCCATTGAGTCTGCCAATCAGCCTGCCAATATCCGGGCTCTGTGGCCCCACCCATTTCCTACCTACCCCCCGAGGAGTTCTAGTTTTATTTTTTTTTAACTCTGGCCCTCAACCCCACAGTTTATTTTTTGATGCTGGTACTGAGCTTGAACTCAGGTCCTGGGTGGCGTCCATTACCCACCCAGGCTGGTACTCTACCACTTGCTTTTTGTTGGTTAATTGGAGGTAAGGGTCCCATGGACTTTTCTTCCCCGTGCTGGCTTTGAATTGTTATCCTCAGATCTTAGGATCTTGAGTTGCTAAGGTTTAGCCACTGGCACCTGGCTAACAGCTCCCCCCCATCCACAGCCCCGCCCTTTTCTTTCTTGGGGATTCTCATCACTACCCTGTCCCCATCTGACCGCGTCTTCTTTCTCCCTAGCTCGGCTTCATGACCCTCTCCATATTCCTGTGCAGAAACCTGGACCACGTCTACAACCGGCTCACTCGCTACCGCTAGGTCCCATCCAGCCCCTACCAGGTGCCCAGGGCTTCTCCCTTGGGTCTGTACATGTTTGTTTCACCCCTTGACTCATCCTAGTCATTGAGCCCCTCCACCTCCTCATTCCCTGGGGACCCATGGTCTGCCTACTGCTCTGCGATCACCTCCCCCTTGGGACCTTGGGCTTCCGTCCACCAGCTTCCTGTACCCCCCCAAACCTCCCTTCTTTCTTTGTCTCTTCTGTTGGTCTACCACGTCCCACAAGATTATTTTTCGACCAAACCTCAAATAAATCCCCTGTGTTTTGGTAAAATAGCTTTATCTGCCGTCAGAAAACAAATCAACATGCTTCGGGAAGGGAAAGGGCCTAGCCTTCCCCTTAAAGGGTGACATCTGAGAGTCTCACCCATTTGCTCGCTAAGTCATGACCCCAACACCCACATATAAATATCTTGTTATATTAAAAAAAATATTTCCTGCACAGAAGGGGTTAATCTTCCAATTTGTGACATCACAGATCACAGAAAGGAGGTGGAGGCAGATAATGTGGGGAGGGGAGAAACTGGAAAACAGAAAGGAGTAAGCCAGTGTGTAACTAGGGCTCCCCCAAAAAAACTTCCAGAAGAAGCCGGGCGCTGGTGGCTCACACCTGTAATCCTAGCTACTCAGGAGGCTGAAACTTGAGGATCACAGTTCAAAGCCAGCCCGGGCAGGAGAAACCGTGAGACTCCTATCTCCAATAAACCACCAGAAAACCAGAAGTGGAGCTATAGCTCAAGTGGTAGAGCGCTTGCCTTGAGCTGAAGAGCTGAGGGACAGTGCCCAGGCCCAGAGTTCAAGCCCCACGACCGACAAAAAAA